GTGTGTGTCGTGTCATGCATGCGTGTGTGTGTGTGTGTGTGTGTGTGTGTGTGTGTGTGTGTGTGTGTGTGTGTGTGTGTGTGTGTGTGTGTGTGTGTGTGTGTGTGTGTGTGTGTGTGTGTGTGTGTGTGTGTGTGTGTGTGTGTGTGTGTGTGTGTGTGTGTGCGTGCGTGTACAATAATAAGAGCCCTGCTGCCAGTCAGCCACAAGGCAGCAGCTGCTCAGGCCCACAGATTAGAGGCTTGCGCTGCACTCGATGCCCGAGTGAGTGGTTAGATGGATGGATGAATGAACGGATGGATGGATGAATAGATGGTGGTGAGAGGTTGGGAACTGACCGTTCATAAATACCCTCTAAGTTACAGTTGCTACACCTGCCTAACTTAGCATTTTAGCACTACACCTATACTATTATAATGGTTTGAAAACGACCAATCAAAACTACATTTTTCAGGCTGAGAAGAGGAATGCCTTAAACAGGTTTTATGGGTTGTAGCTAGCTAGGTTTTGAAACAAGAACAAATATTTGCCATTTAGATGCAGCAAAGGATAGGAGCCAGACAGAGGTAAAAAAAAAACAGCGATGTAACATGCAACAGAGGTCCCTGGAACAAACCATGACATATTGTAGAAATGTGTCAATGTTTTAGCCTAAATATGTAGAACTGTCAACCCTAGCCCTAGTACACTGATGCTGAAGGAAATAAATAAGGAAGCAAATTTACACACTGGGAATGAAGCACACATTTCTGAGGCATTGAATTACATTTTAGATCAATAGATCCACTTGACCTAGAGAATGTTTGCCCAATTATACCTTTGTTGGGAATTATGAAAGTGAGGAGGCAGACAAAGGAAAAATAAAGGGGCGTAACAGGTCCCTGGAACAAAACATGGGACATTGTGGTTATGTGGCATGCACTGTTACTGTAATTTTGCTACGAGTGTGCCCCAACCACAATTTTTTCTAACGTAACCCAAGTAGCTTTAGTTACCTCAACTTAACCATATGGTAAGCGGTTACGAACACTTTCATAAGCTCTGTTTTCAATGGTAAGTTTGTTGTTAAAAATATACCGAAATTACCCATTTAGGTAAGAAAATATTTAGTTGAAATTGCAAACTGAATTGGTTCAATGCCTCAACATAAGATCAACATTCTCTTGAGTGAGTTTGTCAGTTCTCTAGCAAAGAAAGTGATTTGCAAACTTAATTGACTCAGCTCCTTTAGGTTTTCTTGCACTTTTTTTCCAAATGTGCCTGGGCAGACTTTTTACTATACTACTATTAGTATTTAAGGAATATATATATAAGAAACCCCCAAATGCCCTCTTTATCAGACAACACCCAGACAATTAACCGCATAGATTTGTCTTATTCTGTAAGCTGTACTTCAGCTTGACAAAAAGACCAATTTTTTTCCACAGAAAAAGTGTCATTTCCGTATTACTGTACAAAAACAAACAAACAACAACAAAAAAAATTAATTAAAATACACATTTCCTACATTACTGAAAGTATATAAATGTCTCAACAAAACTGTTATGCAGTAAAGAGTCTCATCTACGTAGGCTACTGATAAAATACTGTAACAGCAAACAAATGCACATAACCACAAAAAACTTACCTCACTTTACTGCAAACAACAAATAGAAATGTCTCTGCATCTAACAAAAAAAAATTAACGTTGTTACCAGGGTAGGAATTTCACAGCGGCCATGATGGCAATGGCCGTCGTTGCCCCTCGGTCTGGCCGTTATGCCCCACAAATAATTGTACGTCCTACAGCCACCATGAGGGGTGGTGTGGTGTACTGTGTTGGAACCCCTACTGCACACACCATTCCCCTCAGTCATAAGGAAGACTGACATCGCTCGACCGATAAAACGGAATGCGACTAAACGGCTTATGTTACAAGTTGTTGGGTCTGTAGACCTCCGATACGGAAAATAACCCCAATGCTGTATATTCTCATATGTGAGACATTGTTCGCAGTTTATTGTCGTAATGTATCTAGCTCACACATGACAGGTAAACGAACGTCCATGAACTACGCAAATGGTAACAAAAAACACATAAAATGAGACGCGGGGATCATACATCCCTTGTTTCTCTAGCTCGTGTCTTTCCCACGTAAATTCTCTAAGTGTGATGGTGTGGCGCGTCACAGTCGATCGTTATCGGAAGTATGATTGGTAGTCTTTTGTGTGTCTTCCTAGTCCCCCCGCGCTTGGAGTGACCGTGTAAGTGACTACTCGTGAGCCGGTCCCCGTTAAGGGTGGGTTTGTCTAAAGTACCGCTGTCCACAACATACCCGTGCTGTCAATGCGGAACAATAACAACCAAAAACACGTCGACCGTTTGGTTATATTGTAAGGTACTTTTGTGTGAGCGTCTCCGTCGGAGCTACCGCTACTGAACTGAAATCCCTCGACCAGGGTGGGCAAAGTCGACCTTGACTTAATAATCCAAAACATTACAACCACCTTTTAAAAATCAAAAATTTGTAGTTATTCCACTCGTATAGACCACACCAAATTGATGAGCACGACATGACACCTTTAAGAAATAATACCTTACTATTTTATTTAGGGGTCTGGCCAACTTCACGTGGTAGCGAACCAAGAAGTCTCTAAGAGTTTTTGTTATATTAGTATCATGCCGTGTTAACCTACGTGGACTGCAACTCTCACGAGTTTAGTCTGGTTGTAGGACTGAGTAGTAATTTATCCAACGAAATTCAACACATGACTACATGACATAGTACAGACGAGTTTGACCTATTTTGTGTTTTTGCTACTCTCTCGTAGGCTATTTTTTATTCACCCAGTTCTCAACACGGACTCCGTGGCTCATGTGCTGGGTTAACAAAATGATTACATTAGTTGTTATAGAAGGACCCTTCTTCGGTCGTGGAATGACATGTAATTTTCGAATAACTTTGTTGAATCAAGCCGACCCACTGGTCTAGTGGCCTCCGAACCCCCGTATGATTTATATTATTTAAGTGAAAGGACTATTGGTCCGAATCCTGAAGGCTGGTACTGAACATTCGTCCTGTTCCAGAAGAACCACAGTGTGAACAATATGAGTTTCCGGTGTACGGTCCCGTGATATTCGTGACTCCCTTCTGTAAACTAAGACCTCGAATATTTCTGTATTGACGTGAAAGACTATTCTTTTTGTGTGCTTACTGTACCTTTTGTTTAGTGAAAAAATTATAGTTCATTACGGCTTTGTAATATTACCTTTATATGGATATTCAGGATACGAGCGAAAATAAGCATATATTGGATAGTTGTACTTATGAGATTAGAAACTTATCTGTTGAGCACTAAGATTAGATGGATGAAGAGGTAAGGTAATTAGACTTTAGTTTAGTTCGGTTTAGTTTTGAGATAAGGGGTAAGTGTTATAGACAAAGTCTCGGTCTTGTGTGCTGTTGACATCGATCCAACTTGATACGATGTGTTGTCAATAAATGTATAGAGTCGCGCTGACACGTGTCACCTTCGATACGGGAGTTGTAAGGTGACATGCTTTGTCACTATCGAAACTGTTGACAGTCGACGATCAGCTAGCTACGTACACACAACACACGTCACACGACACACACACACACAGAGACACACACACACACCACACACGACACACACACACACAGCACACGACACACACACACAAACCACACACACAAGTGCTCTTCAGAGAAATTAGTTAAAAAACTTGAGCCTCGCGCATTTAAAACGCTAACTACGGCAAGAGTGCAATCGGTAGTAGTTAGTCGTTACTCCAGAGTCGGGACTGCGACGCTAGCCTTTTGGGTTTTGTAGTCGCGTAATCGACAAATTGTGAGTCTCGAGTGTCGAGGAGTATTATAGACAAGTCTTTTTGACCTGTGGTGTTTGAATATGTACTGTGTTTGGTGTCAGACAGACCTACATCAGACCGCCTATGTGTAGCTGTACGTAAAATATTAAGTACAGAAATCCTGCAACAGAGCTGCACACACTTCGACATCCTGCGTCGTCGATGTCCAATCAAATCGGACTAGCTTAGGCCAGTAGTGTAAGTCTTTTGTACGTAAAATTTTCCAAAAAGCTGAGGGCAAAAACAGACGTGTGAACAGTTTCGCAACAAATAAAGTACCAAAAAATGGTTGGCCATAGGTCATACTAACACAATGAAGCCGTAGTAAGAACTTTGCACCATAATTTTAATTAGTGTCATTTTATACAATTAAAACTCACTTGTCATCATTGCGTCGACCGTCTGCGCGCGACTTTGACGTCGCTAATCTGCGTTACACCTCTTATAAACGTAGCGGCAGGCAACACTTGCGTCGTATTACGCTTAAATCTCTGTTCTGGTGACGAGACGACTGCGAAAATTTCGTTGAAGCTCTAGAAAATTGTCGGCACTCCNATACTGTCGTGATGAAACGACATATCATGGATTATCAAGGATTATTTCTTAAACAGTATGGAGCTCAAAGGCTTTCTCTCTTGCCGGTTATACCACAAGGTGAGTTCCTTTTTATATCCTGCTTCTTCACACACATGCTCTCCAGTACAGGTTAGCTCTGAGTGTTCGCGATGCTAATGTAAACACCGACCATATTACGTCCCAAACAGTCGGGCATTGTTTCTGATAGCAACTTTCTGATAGTGCCGTGGGTCCACATTTCTGATATTACGTCATATCGATCTGGATCAGCTCCGTTGTAGCCCCGTTTTTAGAGATTTGGATACGGAGGAAAAGAGAGAGGGTTTTATTTTCTGACGCTGGGTGAGTTCCCCGACACACCGGGGACACATATTTGTGTATAAAAGACATCAAAAAGTGCATTTTGCATGATAGGTCCCCTTTAAATCATAATTCAACTTGCATTTTGTTCAGTCTACAGTGTACTCCCTATTTTAAGCTGTATGCATTCCTCTCTATGTGTCTGTGCGTAGGTGGTCTTCCTGTCAGACGACAGTGTCTCTCTCGGTGACATCCCTGTGTGCTCACAATCCTCAAGAATCCTCTTCCTGACCAATGTGTCCCACACAGACACTGTCCACTATACATGGGAGCTGCAGAGCAATAAGCAGGTACTGGAAGATGTACATGTACAATGTGAATTATAGTATATATACAGTATATTATTCTTTAAAACTGTTTAACTCCTCCCTCAGAGCTACAGGCAGTCAACATAGACTCTAGTTATTTCACCATTAGCAGTTAAACCCTCTTTAGAATAATTCATTAATCATTAACATCTTTATTAGAACTGATACTCCACTGCATATGTTGTAGTATACACATTATTATATATTAACTGTATATTGTGCAAGGTGCACATTTATCGTATGTTAATATAAATATTTCTTTCTATTTTATTCTATTTACAAAAAAAATTAAATGAAGACGTTTTACCTACGTATACATATTTTTGTCTTTTTTTTTAATTGTTAAAACTAATTTCCCATCTGTCGGAATGAAGTATTCTGAGAATATAATAATATATCTTATCTTTGTATTTACATCTGAACATTTTGAGCATGAAACATGCATGTCCTCCCTTCTTTTTGTCAGACTTTCTTTCAAAATCAACGAAAATTAAGATATTGCATGTCTTTGATTCTCCCAATTTCTTAAAATATTTGTATCTTTGGCTTTTTAAAAACAAAAAGAGTGATGAAACAATGATTTGTCATTTGCATGACCCATACCACCTTAATCTAGAATTTTCCGGTATGAGAGTTGTGATATTGTTTACGTTTGAAAATGTGTCTGTGTTTTTTCTTTTGTGCCAGGCAGTGCAGATCCATCCAGAGCGAGGGACTCTGTGTCCAGGGGAGAGTGCGCCTTGTGTCCTCACCTTCACCTCCACTGACTACCCTGCTGTTTATCAGCTGGATATCATCTGTCAGGTACCACAGCAGTGCTAGTGTAGATTTAAAAAGCATCAAGTGTGTGTTTTAAAAAAAAAACAAATCCATTTTCCAATTTCATTTCAATCCTGGTTTGGCAGAGTATTTTTAGAAGTTACTTTTTTCTAAATTAGGAATGATATGCATTTTTCTTCTTTTCTCCAGGTTTTTCAGGAAGCCGTTCTGACTCGGTATTACGATGCTTTACAGCATTTGGAGGAAGAGAAAAAGAGACAGCGGGATGAATTCACTATCACGGATAAGATTATTAAAGGCAGTTATGGAGTTCTGATAGATAAGGTGCTTCCTCACATCCAAAGGCATATTGTTGACAGACATGCTAAAGGCTTCTGCCACACATTCATCCTTTGTCTTGTTACAGGAACCTGTAGCAGCTCCAGTAAGAAAGGGGCCGCCACTCAGGAAATACAAGGTGCTCCTTGTTTGTTGTAAATCATTTTTTTTGTAAATATTTAATTTATTTATACTTAATTGTATTCTATTTTAAGTAATTAAAATAATATAATATTCATTTTTTAATAGGGACAGTGTCCATTGAGAAACATTGGTGTTCACGTGCCAAAGTTAGTCTATTATTATAATATTTGAAAAATATATATGTCATTTAAAACATGGAACATAAAGCCTCACAGCACAGTAAATGTCAAATAAAATAAATATATATATAAAAAAAGTGTATATAATACACATATATATATTTATACAGTATATATATATATATATATATATATGTGTATTAAACATAAGAAACAAATGAATTCTGAGAAGTGAAATTAAGAATATAAAAAAAAAATTACAAACTGTAGAATACAGATATTTTTATAAACATAAGAAGCTAAAGTAAAATGTCCAATAAAAGAAGATATAATAAAATATTTATATAAACACTATATGTCCAAATGTCCACATTGTACTCCAATATTTCTGGGATTCAGTTGCTCTTTTTGCAGCTTTACTAAAGAACTTAATTTTAAAATGTATCAAATTAATTCATAAAGCCTTCCCTTTGATCCCTCCAGACTCTTCCTCCTATCTGTGCCAGTGCTGCTTGTGAAACAGTGGGGGGGATATGTACCAAGATAACAAGAGCTGAGAAGCGAGCGCAGCGAGAAAAGGGAAACGTTTGGAGGTGCCCTGAACCCCCCCTGCCGGCTCTGCTGCATCTGGGGGTGACTGCACGCTCACACGGGCTTCTGGAGTACCGTGCACACTTTCCTGACCAGTCCAGTGACTTCAGGTAACGCATTCAGACTGAGACAGACTGGACTTTAATACATATTTTATAAGGAAATTGTTGTTATACATATGTTGATATCATAACGTACTTTTCCATGTTAGTAATCACTTAAGAAGAAGTTAAAAAACTGAAGTTAAGTCACTTTGATATCTGTGTTGTTTTCCCAAGATGCCTCCAGTCAGTGAATCCCCGGCAACCTGAGAGCACTTCCCTCCATGCTGGGCGGGGTTCACAGAGAAAAGGCCCCGATAGAGACGTCACCATGCGCATACTCGTCTCTCTGCTCAGGTAACGTGCACACAGACACCCAGATATATGCAGTGAAGACAACATATATATATATATATACACAATGACCTCTGCACTGCAGTGAGGACATTTTTGATATCAAGCAGAATCAGAATACTTTATTTATCCCAGATGACGTCGGGTTCTGTGACAATTGCTAAAGATAAAGAAATGAAAATACAAATATACAGTCAAGTGAGAGCCAGTAAGGACTTGGACGATATAAAAACGTTATTTTAAAACAATTTTCTTTTCTTTTCAATGCAAGTTCATTGTTGAAGAATTTTAAAATGAGAATTTGGGATTAATAAATTATATTTTATCGTATATATTTTTGAGTATCTTTAAAAATGACTCTTTTTTTTACATGGGGGGTACATGATTTTTTAACAAAAAAGCATCTATCTGTGACGCAATACAGTTATTTGTTTTTTTAACTTAATCTAATCAACTAATTCCAGTATGGTTTAGTTTTATTTGAACAGTTTTGTGTGTATGTTGGTAGAGTTCATATTGTAAGCCGAAGTTAGTTAGCAAAGATAATACTGACATGAAATGTTCATATCAAACCCTTGCCTCTGTGTATTTGTGTTGATTAGGGATGTGCTACTTATACAAATGACTTATTGCGACAATTGCCCTTTCAATATGAAAACAAATTTTAACACATATTTTACCAACTATTGTGCTTTCTGTAATTTGAATATTAAGTCCTTATTCCAATTGTATACAAAGTCCATAACTGGTGCATCCATAGAGCTTAGGTCTCCCCCTTTTCTTCTCCAGGGGAATACTTGATGACCCAGCCTTCTCGCAGTCTCTGATAAGTATGGAATCGAAGCCCATCACCTACCAGCCTCGAAAACCTGGTCCCTCCTTATCTCCGTCCTCCCTCCCTTCCTCCTCCTCTTCTTACCCTGCACCCCAAGCACAACTTCTGTCCAGTGGGGCCCAGGGAGAGGAAGATCAGCTCTGCCCAGTGGATGGTGAGGGGACACCACACCCTGAACATGTGCCTGCTGATGTGAGTGAAGAGGTTCTGCTGAACACGCTCCAGAACTTGATAATAGAAGCTGTCGGAGGAGAGCTCGACCTCACAGCGCACCCCCGCACGGTTATGTTGCCCCCAGTTTCCACCAGGTGAAGACACAGTGTTAACACACTAACACCAGCTTTGGCTGAGTTATCACCCTCCTCTTTCTGTTGCATTATTCAGATATAACCAAATGTCTAACATGTGTGTGTTCCATCAGAACCAGGAGGATGCCCAATGCCGTGGCCGAGGAGGAGAAAGAAGATTTCATAAAGTGAGCAGCAGTTAATAAATTATGTTTATAAAGATGTTTGGGCATTATTAAAGGAGATTCAAATCTCCTACCCTTGTCTTCAATCACAAATGGCAAGTTAATGAGAAACATCAAAACTTCATACTGTAGCGATTAAGTAGGATGCATTTGTGTGACATTTTGCAACTTTTTTTAAATGACATCTGCATGTAGCTTTACATTGATTTTAAAACTTGAAGAAGATAAATAAGAAAGTATACTACTGTTTTAAGCTTAGGGCATAAGAAAATATAAACAAAAGGAAAACAGTATATTTACAGTATATTTGTCTTTGTCTCACATCATTAATTGTAACACACAACCAATACCAGAACATTTGGACAGAACATTTTACTTTTTGCTTATAAAGTTTATTCCCTTTACTTTTCTAACCTCAGGCCTTGATTCCTGCAGTGTTGCTATTTTTGTCTGTCCATGTGATCCAATTAATAGCAGTCAATAACAATACAGGCAGGTGTGCAGTATGGGAATACCTTCATAACTGTTATTGACTGTTAATAGTATAGGACGTTGAAAAAAATCACAATATAGTATTTCAGACATTTGAAAAAAAGTCATAGTATACTGTTTCAATGATATCATATTTATATGAATTATGTCATATCATCAGCATTTTTGTGTATGACAAAGTCATTGTATAGTGTTTTGAAACAACCACAAAAACATACATATTGCAGTACGTCGTATTAAAAATACTATACTTTTTCATGAAATATTCATTATACCTTACTTTGCCTTTCAATATTAATCAGCATACTTTGAATTATCCGAATTTTCGACAACTATATAACCTTTTTAAAAAAATATATATACAGTATAAAGAGCCACCATAAAAATGTCAGTATGGTATATCATAAAATGCCAAAGTGAATGAGTATTTGTCATTCTGCAACACAATGTTGCACAGCAAAATGCAGTTGTGGTCTTTTTATTAAGTTATTAAAACAATTATAAACACCAGAAACTAAAACTGTTGGTAATTCTTTATGAAGATATTATATCTGACAGCTTGCCTTTAAAAATTCAACATTGGTTGGTTTTTAAAAAGGTCCACAAGATGGGGCTATATGTAAACAAAACAAACTAACCTACTTCAGCTGAGTTTAAGTGCCCAACACACACACACACGCACGCGCGCGCACACACACCCACCCACCCACCCACGCTCTCTCTCTACCTCTCTGCTCATCGTCAACCCCTGTCTTTGATGTCCTGCTGTCAAGTCCTACCAAGCCCTCTTTGTTCTTCCAAAATAAGCCCTTCTCCCCTCCTCTTACCCTCTCATCTGCTCCTCTGTCTTGAGGACCTTGGCACACTTAGTCTTCCAGATAAAGAAGAAATAAAAGAAGGTAAAGAAGAATCGGTTATTTCTACTTCCAAAAATACAGTAAAGCTGAAAAGTACTACAAGAACTGACCTTTTGTTGTCTTTATAGAAGGCTTTATGACATCCACAGTAATCAAGGCCATTACTACAGTGGCCGACAGGTGGGACCGCGCTACAACGGCCCAAAACACTAATGTTAGGAGAAACGCGCTGCAGCTTCAGAAACGATGCACATATAAAAACGAAAATGTGCCAAAACACATGCAACACATTTTGAAAGCATTCACCAACTTGACGTCTGCCACCGTACATAACTTAGTCATCGTAAACATGAGGAATATTTGAATTTCACTAACTTCTGGTAGGGTTTCCCATTTTTGTAATTTGGTTCTGTATTGTAAATTGTGTATACCAGTCCTGCAGAGCTATAACAATGCATACGATTCATTAAGTGCTGTCTTTGTGCGCTATGTAAATTATACCCCAAACAAAACAAACCTTTTTTTCTGCCCACACCCTAATTTCCCTCCGGCCGAATACAGTATCGATGTAAAGGTTCACACGCAGGTTCAAATCCAATGTGTTTCACAGTTGGGAAGGACTGGAGTGCTGTTTACACAGTCTGGAGATTCCTGCTCCATGGGACCAGAGTGTTGAGGCTTTGATGCTCAATAGGAGCTACTGAAAGAGAGCATGAAGAGCACGGAGAGAGCGAGAGTCGGGTTGGAAAGAGACAGAAGTGATGATGACCTTCTTGGAGTAACCTCGGATTGCTCTTCTTGGAAGCTTCAGAAAATATGGGTAACAGATGTTTTATGTTTTTGTCAGTGGGCTTATCATGCCCACAAGGCAGAGGCACTGTGATCTGTACTGGTTTCTCTGAATGTGTGAGCAAATTCAAATCAAATTGTCAACTCTTCATTATATTGATTTAAGTAAATCTCACTCACTAGGGTTTTCAAGGGGGCTCACCACACAATGTAACATGTTTCTAAAGTTGTAAATGCGAGTCCCAACTCACAAACCAGAAAACCATCAGTTCCTCCACTGTCAATTCAAAAAGAAAATACTGGGTAGTCATATCCAGTTGAACTGCAACAAAGCTGTTCCAATGCAAATAGAAACCTTTCAGACCCCCTCATAGCCTCTGGCTGTTGTATTTTCTCTGAGACAGAGATCAGTGAGAGCTCCACAGCTCCGCGGCTGCTGGCCAGCTGGCTGATACATTTCTATCAACTGGTGGCTATCTAACTTCCCCTCCCTCCCCACCCTGTTTTTCCCCTCAATCCCACCCTAACATCAACACAAAAACAGACTCTGTAATGCAGTGGAAGTAAAAATAATAAAGGGTAATCACTCAAGTAAAATACATACACGGTGCTTTAGTAAATATATTTTTTACCCTAAAATGCCAGTCATAATTAGTAAAAAAGGGTTTTTCTGTCTGAGTCAGATATTATACGTGCCTTACTCAACAGCAGAGGGCAGCATTGCATCCCTCTTCCGCCGACAGTGTGTCTTTCTTTTTCTCCCTCTCCCAAAGCTGGAACACATGACATCAACCCCTACATTCTCCCATGTGAATTACCAGAGTCCTCACCCAGGGGTAAGGAGTCATCCAAGGAAAACAAACCGAAGCAACCAAAAAGGCTTTATTACTGGAAAGTGGGTTTGTCACACCCACAGGGATCAACCATCTCCTCAACAGGTGCTGCAAACATGTGGAGGACACTTTTTTATTTTAATGTAGCTTCATGTTTTTCTAGTAGGCTGAAAAACACCACAAATATAAACATGGGAAGGAATAGTGAATACTTTAATAGGAAAAATCCTTTTCAAGACACCAAATATCTGCCAGCTCCTGATATACAGCCCCACTGATAAGCCCATAACACCAGCAATAGCGCTAGCATTATAAGTTGCTCATAATATCAAAGACATCCCAAATATGTTCACAAATAAAATCTGAAACAAGCTACGTTCAATAAACTACAGCAGGAAATCATTTCCTCCAATCACGTTGGGTTTGTTATTTCAGTCATATTTCACACAGTAGGCAGCAACACCGCCTAGCTTAGCAGTCAGATGACACAGCTACTGCCTAATGTGGATCTTGTTATTGCAAGGGCACCCAGAGGAGCGTTTAGCCCCCGCAGTGGGCCTCCCTTGCTGGGCTGCTATCGTCCCACATCATCCCTGGTCTCCTTGATGTGGTTTGAGAGGACATGACGGGGCCGAGCAGGGCCCAAAGTGATCAGTCGCGCAGTAACATCTGAAACCCATTTCCCCACAATTAAAGAGAGGGAGAAACTATCAGGACCAAACATCGCCTGTTTCCACGGCATCGAGTCAAACATTTGCATGTGTGTGTGTGTGAGCTGTACCTCCCCGCCACAATCACTCACAGACACACTCACACATGTCTTTCCCACCCTAAACAGTGACAGAGCAATTCCAAATGTGTAAACTTACAAAGGAAAACACTTGCCAACCAAAAAGAATATTTTAAGCTGACAAGTAAACAGATAAACAAGCAAAACGGTGATTCTAGCAGACTAGTTTTTTTTCTTTTCACCTGCTAGTGTCATATACAAAGTGTTTGCTTATTTCCAAACTTGGAATAAGCCAGTTAAAAGGTGCCTGTCTGTGATTCTCCACTGTGTGTGTGTGTGTGTGTGTGTGTGTGTGTGTGTGTGTGTGTGTGTGTGTGTGTGTGTGTGTGTGTGTGTGTGTGTGTGTGTGTGTGTGTGTGTGTGTGTACATTAGCACGGTATGCGTGTTGAGTTGCTCCGTCTAGATTCTCATCGGACATCAAACACAATAAAGCAGCGAGTGGAATGGAGCTGATCGCTATCTCCAAATGTAATCAAACCAATTCAACCCACTAAAACCCAGGCACATACTCTCCCCTCGCACATACACACACATGTACACACATCCTCTCCTCCTCCAAACCCTGAGTAAAGGCCACACTCTTCCACTCCGTTCGCAGTGCCTCCTCCCTGCTTCAGATCATCGTTCATGATTTGCTCGCCATGTCCTTGGCTCAGTATGTACGGTACAGTCACAGAGTGCTGCTCTTTACTGTGGTATCAGTGGTCGGCCATTTTACAAACATCCTCCAAGATAACCTGTCAATGAAGTTCCTATCCGGTCGAGCCAAGAGCTGCAGCTTCCCATGACCCTCAGCTTTCATGGGAAGGGTTGACCTACAGTGAACCTAAAGATGACCTTCTGGAACATCAAGGTTTTTTTGATCAGCTTGTCTGTTATGAATGAGGCATGAATATGATAATATCCGACCATGTCAAAGACTTATCAGGCTCTTGAGGCTTAGGTTGCCCTGTTCTCTGATCGTCTTTGGCTCAATAAGGACGATGTTCATCTCCATTTGTGGGTAAGAGGGATGGAAAAGAGAAAAGCAATGACATATGGAGAAAGAGGTTGTGTGTGAGAGACAGAGATGAGCTGTGGGATAAGTTTAACTACTTGATCAGTGAAATGTGGAAGATACCCAACACCAAGAATGGACCAAACTGTCACTTTCTGGGGAGCTAAAAGTTGCCAAAGATCATTTTTGATCCAGGAACATTGGACCACTGATGATCTAGGTTTTGGATTTATTTGTCAGCTCTCTGATCATGTTTGAATTAGAAAATACGACTGACTTGATCGTGTGCCTCAAGAGTATTTGTGCGTCAGTGCAAGCATGTTCTTGGACAAGTAGACTTAGACGGATCAGTCTGTTGAGGCAGAAACAGAAATCCAACCAGGTTAAGAGGACAGAAAGATAGAGAAGAAAGTGAAGACAGAGACATAGATAAAGCCTAAAGGAAACAGAAATAAACCAGAGATGAAGAAGCAGAGACAAGTGAGGGAGAACTGAAATAATACCTTGAGATTGAGAAACAAGGCACGGACCGAGAGACAGCGCCAAATCATCAGTCTTTGATTCCTTGCTAAGACAAGCATGATCTTAGTATCCAAGAGTGAGCGGTACTTTCACTAGCCCTCTCTGAAAACACTATCACAGGGAGAGACATTCCTTAACCTTTCACCTTTTGTAACTTGGCAACAACAGGCCATAATCTAACATTCACCAATTTGTGGCCGGGGGAAAGTCAAAACTCTGAAAACAGGGAATCCAAACTAATCTGCTCTGGGTTTGTGTTATACTGTACAATGTATACACTATACAGGTGTGACATTTTGGAAAATATATAATATTTACCATAAGCAGTAACACTACTCCCAAACATGAATGCACTTCATGGGTTTTGGGAATTTCAAACAAACAAAAATGATTCAAAAACATGTATTTAGTTGCTTACTGAACAAGACCGTTTTTGGGGGAAATTGCTTCGTTGTCTAGGTAAAAAGATTGATCTCAATCCAATGTTTATACTGTAGTTGCCAAACTTTTTATTTAAAGGGGACCTATTATGCAAAATGCCCTTTTTTATGTCTTTTATACATAAATATGTGTCCCCGGTGTGTCAGGGAACTCACAAAGTGTCAGAAAACAAAACCCTCTCTCTTTTCCTCCGTACCCACATCTCAAAAAAAAAGAAAAAAAGGGGGGGGCTAACCAAGCCCCCAGTAAGTGCGCCGGACTCTGATGAAAATATTCGTTGCGTCTAAACGGCGGTACTACAACTTCCGTATCAGTCCGTGACGTCACTGGGCCCAGAAAGACTTTTCCCCATTGACTAACATTGGGAAAGAGACGTCTGTAAATCAGCGGATACTTTTTGTAAAACTAAATAAACTACCCAGGATGAACTATTTTATAGCCCTCATTAGAATCATTCGGTCCTTAAAGTTGTAAAATGCACTAAAAGCTGAACACGAGTGAATCACAAACAAAGGACAAAAAACAAATGGATATGGTGGTCACTACAACGGTCTAAAACTTGCTTCCGGATGAAAAACCGGAAGAAAAGTTTGTGAAGGAGCAGCGGCATCCAGACAAAGGAACAATGGAGACTGCTCGAACCAGCAAATGCCACAGGGGTAAATAGTCTCAAAAGTTTACAAATAGTGGAAAAAAACTGGATGGATTTGAACTATTCCGTTAAGGAATCTTAATTAAGGAGCACTATTGGAGCGACTTTGATGGACATTGAAAACGGATTTATTTAATTTGGATGCCCGCTGTGTAATATAATTAATGAACGCCGCAAGCAGACATACTACAGCATTGAACTATTTGAAAATAACTTTCTAAAGTGTGCCTATTCATAAATGCTGATATAAAAGTGAAAGATAACCAGCAAAATGAATGAAAAGGAACTGATTGGAGCAGCTGTGGCCAATCTGAGTCAAACTGAAACCCAAATGGAGGGGGATGATGTTTCAAGCCTGCGTTTATCCAGACAAGCCAGATTGGGACATCTTACGCGCAAAAGCAACATTATTAAGGAGCTAACGGAGGACCGCATGAATGCAGAGGAAGTGCAGGAGAATATGGTCAAATATAATGCTTTGACGGAAAGTTTTAAAGACTCACACTTGTCATATCACATACGTTTAAACGAGGAAGAAGAAAAACGTGAAAGTGACGCTTGGTTTCAATCAAAATTGAATAGCATTGACGAGTTTATTATTTTTGTGACAAGATGGATGCAGGGACGTCGGAACTATTTTCTGGGGGGGGGTGCGGGATTTTTGCTGGGAGGGTCGGGGGGGAAACTCACACTATCAATGATTAACGAACTCGACACGTAGGCCTAATAGCCTAGGCCTATACATAACAGATATAGGCTACATAAACACACGCAGCATCTTAATTGTTACGAAAATGTATGAAACAAAAGGAATTAATGAATTAATCAAGCCTTTATTAAGGAACATACTGTAGCCTAATAGGCGATAACATAGGCCTACAGCATTCAGAAAATCAACAGAATAATACAGCCTGCCTATGTTATCGCCTATTAGGCTACAGTATGTTCCTTAATAAAGGCTTGATTAATTCATTAANATAGCCTCAGGGGAGGGATCTAGTGTGTCCATAGCCTCAGGGGAGGGATCTAGTGTGTCCATAGCCTCAGGGGAGTGATATATTAGGTCCATAGTCTCTGGGAGGGATCTGGTGTGTCCGTAGCCTCAGGGGAGGGATATATTAGGTCCATAGCCTCTGGGAGGGATCTGGTGTGTCCATGGCCTCAGGGAAGGGATATATTAGGTCCATAGCCTCGGGGAGGGATCTGGTGTGTCCATAGCCTCAGGGGAGGGATCTATTATGTCCGTTCTAGAAACTCAAGGACTTGAAGGAAGCCAAGACTGTCTATCCCGGGTACTGTGCGCCTTAGGAGAAAAGGAAGGGAATGTAACGACGAGACGCCGTTACTGCTATTTATTAAATGGCATTAATTGCATAAGTGTTCACCCCTCATCTTGTCTGTTGTTTCCGGTCGTCTCTGTGTTCCCTCCTGCTGATTATCCGATTGTGTTCACCTGGTGCCCTGTGTTTGCTCCTCCCCCCTCACCTGTCTCTAATTGCTCCCCCTCACCTGTGTCTTGTTAGTGTGTGTATTTAGGTGCTGTTTCTTGGAACCTGGTAGGGTGTGTGAGATCCTGGTGGCTGCAGGCTGGGCTCACGTGAACAGCAGCAGCAGGATTGAGGCTGTGTGTAATATGTTCATGTTTTAATAAATGCCCCCCCCCGGGTTATAATTTTGGAC